TTGTACTGAATTAAAGAAGATAGTCATCATAAAGCAAAAACCTTATGATTCTATTTATTAGCCATCTATAGTAGTCAAACATATAATAACTAAAATTATAACATAATAAAATAAATAAAATAGTGGTTTCCCAAAGATGGGAGGAGAGATACATAGTCAGTTACTGTCTTAACGGAAAGTGTGATAGAAAAGAAAAACTTCCAGAGATAAATTCCACAAGAATGTGAACATTGCACTTGAAATTATTAAGCTTTGCTTTGTGGGCTTCATAATTTTAACTAGAATAGGTGAAATTAAAATACTATCCACAGAGAAGAGGACTCATAACTTTGAGTCCCAAGAAGAACTAAAGATTTGGGTTAAAAGCATCTGCAATTTTCTTCTGTCTAGACAGCCAGGTATAAATTGGACAGAGATTTTGGCCTGATGAAAGGCATTTTTAGTTTATATTTAAAAATATTTAGATAATGACTAAAATAAATCTAAAATGTTGAGCTTGTGACTGAACAGTAAGTAGTCATTGCTCTACCAGCTTATCAGGACTCTTTTAAATGTTAAGCTCTGAACTGTTATATCATACAACAGGAGAGCAATCTGATGTATTTTTTATCATCTAAATCATTTATTTATATTTTTATAATTTGCATTTATATCTTAAATCTTTTTTGAGATTCTCCAAGCTTATAAGCTTTAATATCCTCAGACCTTTTTTAGACCCATATTTAAACCTTTATGATTTATTTAAACTTTTGTAGCTTAAAACATTTAAACATCTTAAAAATGAGCTAACAAACTGACTATAGCCTTGCAGAAGGATCTGGTTGTCTGATGCTACCAAGCTGACAAAGTTATAGCTAGCCTAGCTGTCAGTACTATCAGAGATCTGAGAAGCATAAATTATATCTGAGTGCAGACCAAGAAGCTTCTAATTCTATTAAAAAAATGACAGAGACCTATCCAATATCCAGTTAGCCTTACCCAGGTCTCCACAGTGTTGGAGGCAGAAATATCAGAACAGCACTGTATCTCCAACTCCAAGACTCTGATACTCTTTTTGGTCCTCCATAGGTACCCAGACACACAAGTGTGCATACACTCACAAAAACACACACAAAAACACAAGCATACACACACATGAATAACTGAACTCTTTTTTAAAAAAAAAAAAAACTGTGCTATGTGTTATAGTTGTGTATGATTAAAATGCTTCCTAGTCTTGTGTGGGCTGATGGCTCCACTGTTAAAAAGCATGTCTGCTCTTTCAGGGGCCCAGATATGAGCCCTAACATACACATGGTAGCTCACTACCATCTGTGACTACACTCCCAAGGGATCTGATGCCCTCTTCTGGCCTCTATGGACACTGCATCCATATGGTACACAGACACACCCAAACATAAACAAAACACCCAAATACAAAATAATTCAAGAATTCATCATCTTTGGTCCAATTCTGAAGTTTTTCAAGGTCAAATAGTATGACAATAAACCTTTGACTTTGTCCTGCTCATTTTAAGATATAGGAATTTTGAAACAAGAACTGAATTCCAAATGACATCTGTAAACTATTCACCTTATCTATTGCAATAAGGAGAGGGTTTTAAATGTAGTAATAGAACTAAGTTGTTAAAAAAAAAAAGGTGTTTTCATTGCATGAAGATGCATCAATCATACACAAACTCATAATACTTAAAAACAATGTTTCATAGAAAAGACCTTTACAACTTACCCATTTTCTACTTACAGCTCTTCTCTTTTTGGAGGCAACAATTACAACATCAGAATAAATTACATAAGTACACTATTTCAAGAATGAAAAGTTCACACTGCAGGTTAATTTAAACAGAACAATTATAAGTCATAAATTATGCTAGGATTTCTTCATTTTTATACAAAAAGCTTAGGGAACATTATAAATGCAAATGTGAATTATATGAGAAATATTTGTAACTGCAGACAAAGAGAAATATTTGTAATTGCAGGCAAAACTCATTTTTAAATAACTCTTGAGAATGTTTTGTGAAAAAGGAAAATAGTACTTAAATATTACCATGATATACTGTGTGCAGTACCTTGTCAATAATTGAAGTAATGAATATGCAAGTCAAATTTGTAGTAAATGAGCTGAAATAAATGTACATTATAGACATGCTACATAGTTTATAGAATCGCTTTTTACTCTCTTCTCAAAATGCCAAAATATTTTTGTATAAAGTGATAATCTACTACATTCCCTCTTGCAAAACCCACTGTAAGACTGTATACTCTGTCTCAGCTAGATTTCTATTGTTGTGATAAAATGTCATAATCAAAGGCAACTGAGGGAAAAAGAGGTTTCTTTCACCTTTTAGTTTGCACTCCATCATGGATGGAAGTCAGGGCCAACCTGGTCTACAAGAAAGCTTGTTCCAACAAAAACAGACATGGGGCTAGTTAAAGGAAAGCTAGGTTATACCTGCCATAAATTAGTCAGCCATGGGAAATTATACGTTTGATTCCTATAGAGTTCTCTGTGCTTAGTAAGAACTCCACATGTTTCCAAGCGGCCACCTACAATGATCAGGAGTCTGCTGTTGAGCATCCTTCAAGACTCTATGGAAAGAGCTATGAAGGGCCTGAGTTTTGCAGATTCATGAGTTATCTTCCCACTGTTTAGTGGATACAGGCAAAGGTCGTGGCATTCCAGGGCCTGAGACAATGGGTCTTAATATGCATAACAATCAATATAAGGAACAGAAAGGCTATCTCAGTCCTCCGTCCTGCAAGTTACATGGGAGTGATACAAATGTGTGCAGCTGGATTTCTACACAAGCAGTTTTTGTATTTGTTATTATTATTATTATTAATTTTGTTATATGCAAATTTCATAGATACAGATATGTAATGTATTCTAGTTACTCTCACCCTTCTGTTCTTTATCTCCCTTCCACCCCTATCAATCTCTCCTCATCTCTACGCATTCTTTTCCTGCCTTCACAACTTTTTTATTTTGTTTTATGACCCAGCAAGTTGAACCAGACCCATACATGTAGCCATGGGTCTCGAACTACCTCCTGCAGCCTGGTGATGATACCTCCAGCAGTTTCCTCCAGCCATTTCTGCTTTGTTTTGTTTTGTTCGGGATTATTTTAGCCACTCTGATCTTTTGTGTTTCCATACAAACCTAGGGGCTTTGTTTTGTTTTGGTTTTGAAATTCTGTGCAGAATCATGTTGGAATTATTAGCCCTACCCATCCATGAGCACGGGAGACTTTCCAGTGAGGTTTTTATTCCGTTTATTGAGATTTCTATTTGCAGCATCATTTTAGTTTGGGTTTTCATCAGCAACTCTATCACTGTATTGGGTTCTATTTTCAAATCTTGGGTTAACTTTCTCGTTCATTTCTTTGTTTTGATCTCTTGGAATATACACATGCCTTCTTTGAGTTGCTTAAACATGCTTATAATCATTCTTTTGAATTCTTTTTCTGGAAGTTCTTCCAGGCAATTTTCTTACCTGGCATTATTATGGAATTGGCAATTTGTGGGGATCTTGGCTTTTCGTGTTGTCTCTGTCTCTGGAATATTTACTCTGATTACAGATACGCAGAAAAAAAAAGATTGAAAGTTAAAAATAAATAAATAATAGCATACTGCATTCTAAAACATGAGTTTGGTGACTATTAGACTACACTTGTCAGAAATCCCAGAAAAATCCTCATAGTATCTGTCTTAATTACAGTTTCTATTGCTGTAATGAAACCCCATGACAAACGCAACTTGGAGGAAATAGTTTATTTCCCTCACATTTTCATATGATAGTTCATCAAAAGCAGTGAAGACAGGATCTCAGGCAGGGCAGGAACCTGGAGGCAGGAGCTGATGCAGAGGCCATGGAGGAGTGCTGCTTACTGGCTTGCTCCCCATGGCTTGCTCAGGCTGCTTTCTTATAGAACCTAGGACCACCAGCCCAGGGTTGGCATCACGTACAATGGGCTGGGCCCTCTCTCATCAATCATTAATTAAGAAAATGTGCTATAGTCTTGGCTACAGTTCAGTCTTATGGAAGCATTTCTCTTAATTGAGGCTCCCTCCTCTCAGATGACTTCAGCTTGTGTCAAGTTGACATAAAACTAGCCAGCACAGTATCTTGTACATAGACTAGTAGCATCAAGGAATAAAAATATGTAAGTCCATATTGCACAAAAATAAAATCACCAAATGCATCATTTGTCTTTAGAAGAACTAAAAGACTGGTGGGGTTTTAAAGCCAATAGAAAATACCTTACCATGTGCATAGTGGCTTTTTAATTCATTTTGCTCCCACCGTTTAGTTTTAATTAGGAAAGAAACATTTCCCACTTTAAGAAGTGCAAGTGATTTCCAAATCTTAGATAGCAACATTCAAGATGACAATACAGGATTTCTTTTGCCTTTCTTGTCCCCGTCTATTTCAGTACCAAGTGAGTCACATTTCCAGTTCAAATTAGGAGCCAGAACCAGACTTACTTCTCAGTTTTCTATTGCCTTGCAGAGTGAGAAGCTGTGTGGTTCTTACTGATTTAACAGATATTTTCCCTTCTTGGTTTACGTGCACTATTATCAGCACACAAAATACCAAGCAAAACTTATCGGGAAGAGCCCACATGCCAGGATGTTCATCTGACTTTGCACAGCAGGAACTAGAAGGCCAATGCTCATTGGCACGAGCTGGCCAGGATTAACGTGGTGGCCACTGGCCAACATTAGCTGCATGACTGAGCTCTGGTGTACCAACGCCATCCACTGAATTCAAAGGGCAACATTTGTGGTTTATGGAGCTTTGGGGGAAATAAAAATACAAAAACCCCTAAGCATAAAATCTTATTAGCATCTTCCTCCAGATGAAGAGAGCAGAAACACAGACTTTGAAATTGTTCCACTTGGATTCACCGTTCACATATGCTCTACGCACAGCATCCACAAAGGAGTCCGCTGTAACTAATGTTTGGCATTCTTCCTGTGTATTTTTTCCTTCCTAGAACACTTGAAGGATAAGTTAGAAGATTACATGGCTCGGTTTTCCAAAGTGAGAATCGTTCGCACCAAGAAAAGGGAAGGACTCATCCGGACCCGACTCCTGGGAGCTTCGATGGCCAGAGGCGAGGTGTTGACCTTCCTGGACTCCCACTGTGAGGTCAATGTGAACTGGCTGCCCCCACTCCTCAGTAAGTATACTACCTCACCATCCTTCTCACAGTGGCACACTGGACCCGGGAGACTGGCAATTGGGCACTGCTAATGGAGCGCAAAGTTTCTTCTGTTAATGTTGCAGTCAACAAAGGCTTGAATTTGAATTGTATCTTAGTCACTGCTGATGACAAATAGGTATTACTGCATTAGGTAGCACTTCAGAGAGGACCAAGAGCAATCCAACTTAAGGTTAGGAAGGTTTCTATTATATTACACCTCTTCTTTTATTGCAGTTACATTTGTTGGGTAAACACTAAAGTAAAAAAAAAAACCCTCAAACTATTTTTCAGTCATCCTATAATTAGAATAAGATCAAAATGTACATGCCCGTGTATATGCATATATACAGTTATAACAGTTATCACAAGATGGTTAAGAAAGGAAGAAAATTATTCAGCCCCAGGATATAAAAATCCAAGGGATTTGCCATCTTTTAAGATGTATGATGCCATTGTCCTTTTGTTTTTCTCTCCAGTCCTGGTACTGTCCTACATCCTTAAGTGTGTAATCCTCCATATTCACACACAGCCACTCAAACACTGAGCTGCTGTGCAGGCAATGAGGAGTCTTGAATGATCAGTTATGGCTAACCGAGGTGAAGGAAGCAAAGCATGTCATGTCACATCACACTGAACCACTAGAGACATAAGCACACCAGCCGTCATTCCAGCTAGAAACTCCAACTGCGGCTCAATTCAAACCTCGAAGTTGTCGTTTTGTTAGTTTACAATGAAGTCAGACAGAACCCCCCCCCCATTGCGCCTAAGAAAGAAATCGCATACCTAAAGAAATTCTTTCTAGAAAGTTCTTAGTACATATATATTACACTCCTTTCTTATTATCTTAGATTTCTCCAAAGCAAGTTTTATTGTAACTACATCCCTGGCTTTATAAATAAAGCCAGTGACAACCACTGCCTTCACCGCCACCACTCAGAGAGTGCTCTGTTATTAACTATTATATGGGATTTCAGTTTCAACCAGCCAAGCTCCATCAGCAAAAAACAAGAAAGGGTGACTTGGTGACAACCAGACAGGATGTAAAACACAATGCCCAGCAACTAACACCCTCTCCAAAATCACCGGTCCTTATGCCTCTGCACAGGTGACTGCCTAGCCTTCTCAATCAACAGGATGTCAGGACCACAACTACCAGAGACTCCTGTGAGCCTTTAATTAAACGTGCTTCATCCAAGGGCACAGACATATAGAATTTCATTAGCAACAGCAAGAGTCCCTCAAACTGAATTTGACCTGTATGCTGTTGAATGCTCTAACAAGTCAACCAAAGGTCGGACTTCTGTATGAACCAAAGCAATCCCTAAATGCCAATTATCAAACCTCTGATTGTTCACTATGAATCACAGGGAAAGGGGGGGCATAGAAAAAGAGCGTAAGAGACACCCACAGCCCACTCTTTCTCATTAAAGCATTTCATTTCCTGTGGGCCTGATGGATAAGAAACAATTCAAGCTCGGGATGCTATCTCTTTTTATTTTCCTCTATCAGTATCTTGATACATCATCCAAAATGAAGAAACAGGCGGAGCCACATCGCTGCTTCTTGGTTCATTTTTCACCTTGGGGATTATACCTGAATTTCAATTTCCTATTGAGTCTGTTTGTTTGATCCCTGGAAATTGAAATGTAGGCACCAGCCTTGGATGAAAAATTAGTCATGCGGCTTTCACCCCGAGCTAGTCCAGCTGGATGAGAGCTGAAAGGAAATTTGAAGGGAACGTTGACAGTTAATTTAACAGACTCATTCTCTTTGGATCACCTTGGGACTCCTTGTTGGTCAAGGAACTTGTAAATCAAGCTGGTTCTGAATTTGATGGAAGAAACTCACTGAAACCATGATACTAAAAGCTGCAGAGCTGATCGACGAGATGTTTCCAACCTTACTCTGATGGTCTCCACCATCCTCTGGGGAAAATGCCACTTAGATAAGACTAAATCCCATCATAAGACTTGCCCTGGTGAGAATGAATGCTCAGAGAGCCCATGGTGGCAGTTACCTTGAAATCGTGCATCTGCTGATTAGCTGGTGATAAGAGAAATACAACCCCCAGGCTCTCTGAGGCTCCCTGGGCCTGGGGCCATGGTCCAAAACTGCCTCCATTTCCACACTCCAGCATTCTGTATCCCCCTTACCACTGTTCTTTCTTATTTTCTTGTAAAACACTATATACATTTTATAATTTTTGCCCCATTCCTGAATACAGTGGTATTTGTAGTATTACTCTCTACAGTAGCCTTACAACCAGGAAAATGATTGACCCATTGTTTTACTCAGTAAAGAATTACTGTAACATGAAATAATGAATAAATGAATGAACGAACGAACGAATGAATGAATGAATGAATGAATGAACATGTGTAATTGCAAGAGAAATTCACTATGGGATTTTTTTCCCTCTCCATATTCTTTTATCAATGTGATAAAAAAAAAATGTCACCTGTTATTATAGCCAATAAAACCTTTTGCTTCCTGCTCTATGGTAAGCAGAAACTTCCAATGTAAATGGACAGTTTCCTCACTATAAAAAGCTGATCTCTCACACAGGTTACATTAGCTTCAGGATCTCTGAGGGGAAAAAAATACACAGAAATAACCAACTCCCATCATATTTCTAAATGATACCCTTTGTTAAATGTCACACGCCACATCCAAAGGTTTTCCAAATAACAAGAGAGCAGGTGTTCATACTTCAACATCCTGCCTGCCAGACAGCAATGTTCTAATAAACTGATTAAACACGTGTTCTTGAAAGGAGAAAAAAAAAGATACTTCATGTATTGCTAGTCTACATGCACCAACATAAACAAATGCCAGTTTCCTGCAGTGCCTGTTAATTCTATCACAATAAAAACATCTGGATAGAAAGGCAAGCAGCTAGAACTGGAAAGAAGAGAAAAATCACCTGTCTGCTAGGAGACGCGCCATGACAACCTAGAAAGGCGGGTTTTGGAACTGGGGAGTTAGGCGGCGGCTGCATCCGGATCATTATTCCCCAAAGCTGAGTAGCCCTTGACAAGTTATGTGACTTCTCTGAGCTCAGTTTCGAGGTATATAAACAGGATGACAACCGCAGCCACTTTTCACCGATAGTGGGAGTATTAGAAAGAGAATGGGTATAAACCGCCCTGTAATTGCTCGTGGGTTTACCAGCAGCATCATAGCAATAGTACCGTGTCATCTAATGGTGTTTTTTAATTGGATGGGGAAAAAAAAAAGATAAAACGTTGTACAGCGCTGATAAATAAAGTCAGTCTCGAAGAACAGTGGCTTAACCAAGTCCCTGTCCAACTTGACAGCCAAGAATTTTATATATGATTGGTTGGCATTCTGCGGGGAGCAGTCATCGTGACTGTTTTATGATTCGATGCTATAAAAACCATGAAGTTAAATATTTACATTTTGGAACCTTCAGAAAGCAGGCCAGTATTTTCTCAGCAGGCTTCAGCTGTATGCTTGGAGGAACACAAGTACTGTTTAGACTCCGCGCATGTTGGAGGCACGTTAAAATGACAGATTGGGGACAGGTCAGAGCAAAAAAATGTGACAGGGTAGAGCTAAATGGACTTCGGCGAGTCTCTCTGGGACCTAACTTTCTTAAAGGGAAATATAACAACTCTAATTGTACCTAATCACTGTCCCATCGTGTTAAGTCCGACGTTTGGAGATTTCCTGCAAAGTGCTTTAATGACGACAGGGAGACGCCAAGGCTGCAAGTGTCGTGCATTAAAAGGAGCTGCGGGCTCCTCTTGGCTGGAAAATGACGGATGACCTAGGCAGGCAATGTCATTTCCTATTTTGTGCTTTCATTTTTCAGACCAAATTGCACTAAACCACAAAACCATCGTGTGTCCCATGATCGATGTCATTGACCACAATCACTTTGGGTACGAGGCACAAGCCGGGGATGCCATGCGAGGAGCCTTCGACTGGGAAATGTACTACAAAAGAATCCCCATCCCTCCAGAGCTCCAGAGGGCTGACCCCAGCGAGCCTTTCGAGTGAGTAGCAACTGAGGGAGGGGGGAAGGGAGAGAGGGCAGATGACAGGTGGTGTTTCCGGCGTGTCAAACTCAGGACCCCTGAGGACAATTATCTCTGATGAAATGTAATAAAACAGGTGGTAACAATATGCAAAACACCCTGGAAAGGTCAGACCTGTAAGCTATAGTAGATTAAAATTACATGCTATGCTAAATACATGGACCACCATCTTAAATGCTGCTAAGCATAAGGAAAAATGTGTGTTAATGAAAAGAGCCAGAAACACATATCCTTTAAAAAAAAATACAGAGAGTGCTTTCTCCACTTTAAGATATTCTCTTCTGATTTTTAGGATTTTTGTTTTCTCCATTTTCCCTAAAAGACTATTCAAATTAACAGTTTGGGTTTTTTTTGTTTTTTTGGTTTTTTGTTTGTTTGTTTGTTTTGTTTTTGTTTTTGTTTTTGTTTTTGTTTTTATTTGGAAGATTAGTACAAAGTAGGAACCGGAGCTATACCCATTTGAAATTGTCTACTTTTTTTTTTCTGAGACAGGGTTTCTCTGTATAGTTTTGGTGCCTAGCCTGGATCTCACTCTGTAGACCAGGCTGGCCTTGAACTCACAGAGCTCTGCCTGGCTCTACCTCCCGAGTGCTGGGATTAAAGGCGTGCGCCACCACCGCCCAGCGGAATTGTCTACTTTTAATGAAAGTCTGTGCTCCCAAGTATGTACTTCCAGAGCTTAAACTTGGAGACGTCCATTGAAAAACAAATCCAAAGTACATAATCAATCACCCTTCTCCTAATTTAAGTACTTGGAAGAGATGAACTTACAATAACTCAGTGACTGATTTCTACAAAGCTGAAGCCTGTCAATGTTTATTGTGACATAAGAATTGTACATCTCAAGAGAAAGATGCAGGAAGGCTTAGTGTGACAACTATCAGTACTATTAATGGTGAACAGTGAAGTGTGCCCAGTAGTTAGCACAGAGATTGACCAGTGTGTATTCCAGTTACTCCAGTCTATATCCCTTGAGCACAATAAAATCTTTATCATGTTAAAACTCTTGTATAGTTTTTAAGTGTGTGACAAATACCTGTGATCATGGCTTTTCCCACTCTGTAGGAATCCATTTAAGATACAGTCAAATCAATACTGTCTTTTTATCAATAATAGAAGCCATAAAAGTTAGCAGTAGGAAAGTTACCAAGTACTAAAGCAACTTTCCTGACACTAACCATTTGAATTCTAATAAACATTTAGTAATTCCCAGGAAAATGTTTCCTCCAGTTCAAGTCTCCACAAAGATAAACTCCTGGGTGAGTTAAGGGGATTTGAGACGTCAGTCACAAGATAAAACAGGAGGAAAGTCATCTCTCTTGTAAAATGAAACGCGTTTATTAACTATGCAGTGCTTCTGGAGTTAGGATTTCAACCTCTCAAATTACTGAAAAGTGTTTGAAAAGAAATAATGAAGGGCCTTTATTGCTCTCCCATATGCTTTGACCAACGTCCATGAATATTCAGAACTGCTATAAAAATGTATAGGGATCTATTTGAAGGACTTTCTTACAAGCATTAGAAGCAGACCCAGCTGAGAACAGCTTCTCAGATGTCCCTGAAGGTTGCCATCAGAAATCTTTGTCAGAGGCACTTAACGTAGGATAAGTAAGTGATGAGCTGGTACATAACTTAACAAGTCTGATTTAAACCGTCTCTCAGGTGTGTGCATGTGCATTTCAAAGCATGTCATAAGCCACGAATACATACCATTCTTATTTATCAAATTCCTAATTTGATAAATAAATTAAAAATAAATAAGAAAAAATAAAAAGTTAAAATTGATTGAGTTTTTTTTTAAGTGGAGGAGAGGCTATGTTATAGTTACGGTTTCTAGTGTTATGATGAAACTCCTTGACCAAAAGCACATTGGGAAGGACATGGGATTTATTTCATCTTACAGCTTGTATTATATCATGCAAGTGACTCAGGACAAGAACCCAAGGCAGGAACCTGGAGTCAGAAAGTGATGCTGAGGTCGTGGAGGTGCACTACTCTGCGGGGTAGTTTGATATCAAATCAACATGGCTATAGACATCTGAGAGGAGGGAACCTCCATGAAGTTGGGCTGTAGGTAAGCCTGTAGAGCGTTTTCTTATGTAGTGATTGATGTGGGAGGGCCCATGCCATTGTGAGTGGTACCATCATGGGATAGCCATCCTGGGTTCTATAAGAACCAGGCAGAGCAACCCATGCGGAGCAAGCTATTAAGCAACACTACAAGATCTCAGCATCAACTCCTGCCTCTAGGTCCCTGCTATGTTTGAATTCCTGCCCTGACTCCCAGGTCAGCGGTGATGTGCAAGTGTAAGCCAAACAAACCTCTTCCTCCTCTGTTTGCTCCGGGTCCTGGTGTTTCATCAAGCAATAGAAAGTCTCAGACAGCTGCTTACTGGTTTGCTTCCCATGGCTTAAATCTGTTTTTTTATACCATCAAGGACCACCAGCCCAGGGGTGGCACCACCCACAAGGGCCTGGGCCCTCCCACATCAGTCATTAATTAAGAAAATGCCCACAGACTTACCTCCAGGCCAGTCCTATAGAAATGTTTTCATGATTAAGATTCCTTCTTCCTAGATGACCTTGTATCAAATTGATATAAAAACTAACTGACACAGGATCTGCAAACAGAAGAGCCACAAACACCACAGAACTTTTCTTGGATGGCAGATAACAGGGGCCTGTCTACAGCACAATTGCTATGATCCAGGTCACCACGTCGGAAAGGCTGGAATTCATCTCTATACTGGCATTCCAAATAGTGTAATAGTGACTCAGTGTACTGACCTTTTACATCACTTCCACCATGACAGCAAAATGAGGCCCCTGCTTTCAGAAACAATGGGATCCACCAAAGAGCACTCTAAAGCTTGAAAGTATTCTCCGTGCCCACACTGACAGTGGAATTTTTTGTCAGGCCAACCCTGGCTGTGGCCATCACAATATCAAGCACTTTGCTTAACCCTGGCTCTGACAGAACTGGTAACTTTCAGAATGAGATTACCACTCATTCCTATCAACCACTTAGGTGGTAGCTGTCCTGTCAGAAATTGCCCTGGTCTATTGAATATTACTGTCTTTCTGTGTTAAGTCCCTTTGATGCCTGGGAATGCAGACACTTTAGCCTTTTGTAATAAATGTAACTTCCAGGAGGTGTCCACTTTGATCTTAAAAATGGCATTTCCCTTCCTAATAACAAAAGAACGGTTACCCAAGCACTCTGAGCAGTGTATCAGCGATTCCATTATCGCAGCAGTCACTGGAATGTGCTCATAAACAGACACGCTTTAGGCTAAAGCTTGCTTCTGTAGATGTGAGGATTTAAGATACACAGGGTGAATGCTGACTATCTATACATCTCTCCAAGTCTTTCATGTTTCAAGAGGCTATGGGGATGTGTAACTTTCTGTGGGAAGACGGGAATAGGAAGCTGGAAAGGTGGGCAGAAAGGAACTTAAGAGGAATATGAAAAAAAAAGAAAAAAAATGAGGAATATGGAAATTCATTGTAAACCACGAGACCTTCCACACCATACATATGCAAAAATGATCTTCCTTCACAAGTCTATCTAAAGGTCTAAAGTGATAGAATATATGTTTCCTCATTTAGTCTGCCATTATTTGAGTTTTCGGTGCTGTTTTTCAACTTGAAAATCTCATGTAATGAGCAGGGCATGATCAGTAATTACTAAAGAAATAGATTCCATTGAATTAAAATTTCAGAACACTATACTAATATATAAGAATGTGTTATTTGTCAAACATTTAGTTTCAATTAAAATACACATATGATCCTGGGGTGTGGCAGAAATAACATTTCTTAAGCTACAAAAGCTCAAATCCTCAAATGTTCTAAACTAGTAAACATGATCTTCAGTAATCTCAACATGAAGAAAACAGTTCTTCATGCTTCACTTGGAATACCAAGAAAATGTTTACTTATATTTGAAAAGAAAAATCTCATTGTTAAAAGAAATAAAAACTGTTCCTGTAAGAGAAAATGTAATGTTATGGTTCCAGTTACTATAATCCAGCCATAATTTGAATGGATTGGATTGGTTTGGACTGAACTGGAATGGAATGGAATGGGCTGGGTTGGATTGGATGCATCCCAGGAACACTTGGTCTTTGATTAAGGAACACACAATCTTAGCTCTTTCTGGGAACTTACATAATGGAGTGGAATGCTTTTAGAGGATTCTTGTTATCTGTGGCTTTTGAGTTTGCTCATTCCTGGTTCATCTTGAATACAGAGCACTTAGAAAAGTAATCTTCTTCTGTGTGACACACGCAATATATCCCTATAGCTTTTAATAACAAAGGGGAAGTTATTCATTTACTATCCGGCCACTAACTTACCTCTTCAACCTTGTGTTAGCATCTAAACATTTAGAAAGAAGCAGAAGAAATTGTCTTGGTCCACTTCCTTGTCAACTCAAGCAATCACTAGATAATGCCCCAGATAGTGTCCTGCCTCTGCTTAAACTCACCAAGGAAGTCAATTTGCTGCTTCAAAAGGCAATCCATTCCAACAGACTTATTGACTGAAACCTTTTCCTTTGCATTGAGAAAATCCTGTCTCCTTGATCCCAAATTATCCTATTTGAGATGTAAAGGATGTCTAATCCCTTTTCAGTGACAGCTATTAACAGTATCTGAAGGCATCCCTCATGCCTCTTTTCTTTTCCAGGCTAAATATTTTCTCTTCTATTACTGTGTCTAGAATCCTGCCGTCCGTGCGCACACACGCGCGCGCGCACACACACACACACACACACACACACACACACACACACACACACATACACGTGCATGCTTGCTAGTGTGTAGTTGTGTAGAAGGCTGGATACATCGAGGGAAGGAAACTCATCTACTATAAATATTGTTTATTATCCCTTAGTCCACAGGAACATGAGTTGAAAGTCTGTTCATAAAGGTTCATAGACTGGCTTCGAAATG